TTGACATGGTATATGTTTTGGTTGTGACAACATTCGATTCAAAAGAAACTGGAAAATTTTTGATCGCTGTGTTGAGTGAAAACAAAGTTACACTCAAGCGTCTTAGTAAGTATATATATATTTGTGTTATATATTAAATAACTCGTCAAAATACATAGTACATTTTCAAAATTTAATTCCATCTTTTATTATGTATTAAAAGACTAGGCTGACTTTATGCTATCTAATATTAAGGCATTTTCTAGCAGGATATCTACTCTGGTGTTTTCTACCACTATTTTAGTAGATGGATGCTGTTCAGTATCTACAAATGCTAAATGAAAACTGTTCTAAAAAGATTAGCCAATGAGATGTTTGAAATTATTTCACAGGCAGATGCTGACAATTTAAAGAGTATCTTGCTGTAGCTATCAGCACTCTCAGATTTCTGTAGTATACACCCTCAAGAGTACTCATTTGGAGGACGTGAGCTTGCTACATTTCTTAATCTCTATTTGTAAAATTAAATACTCATAGAAAATCTCAAAGATTACGCTTCCGTCGACGCATGATTATAGGTTTATGGACGGATCATATGAAATTCTATGAATTACTCGACTTTTCTTATTAAACAGGTACTCTAGTAAATATTCAATTCAATTATTCATCACAATTAACTGATGATAATCCAACATATTATCGAGATTGTCAAGTACCACAATGTCATTATGAAACATTACAAATTCATGTTAATACAACGAGTTTGTATGTTCTTTGGAGTGAAAACAACATTAATGCGTATGGATATATCTACAAAAATGATTTCAATCCTCTGAAGCCACCTGAAAATTTACTCGTATCACATGACGGTAAATGTAATGATGGACAATTCAAATTAATTATTGAACTCGAGATCAACACTCGATACATATTAGTTGTGACAACACGCGATCCTAAGATAATTGGGAACTTCACTGTTTTTATCTCTGGACCAAACAATGTCAGTCTTAGTCCTTTTAGT